CTCAGAAGACAATTAAGAGATTTACCATCTGAGAGATTTTACCGAAAGGTCTAGAGGGGACAGAAGTCTGCTGTTTATTTATGTGTACCTGAAATACTTTCTTATCTTTCTACATCTGTGTCCTCAAAGAGGGAACCATCCTCACTGCAGGAGACCCCAATAACCCCCATTCCATCCTTACACCTCTACACTGGCGAGGCTGAAGCCCCCACAGATGTGCCCACAGCTGAGAGTCTGGTTTTGGGTTTCCTCTTAATTAAGAGCAACACAAATCCCCCAGCAATGATGTGATAAACAGTGGTGGTGATGCCTCAGGTTTAGCTTTTATATTTTTCAGATTCTGTGCTGCTTTAGTGTGTAGTTCTGAGCTTCATATTAGGGGATGGTGAGCTCTCTGCATAGATTTGGGAGACAAAACAATTCCTTCTCTAGCTGGAGACCAAGGACAACCACCCAAGTTTCAGGCCCAAGAGCACAAACAACATGGGCTGAAGAGAGAAAAACAAGAAGGATGGGACTGCATGGGCTAAAGCTGTAACTGGACAATGAACTGCAATCTGCAAATGGAGCAGAGCTGATCACAGTGAGCACTTGTGCATTTTGGGACCATTTTGGTTCATCTTGGGTGCAGCCCTGGCTGGGCTCTTGTGCTGCCCAAGGTGGATCCATTGAGGCCTTCCAATAAATCCCTGCTTTATTCTTTACTCCATCCAGTCTCTGTTCTAGGTCAGCCTCTCAAGGCATCAGTTTGAGGGGGAAAGGACACTGGGAGCTCCTGGGAAGGCATGGGAAGGCCTGTCCTGGCACATGCTGCCCTCTTCAACCATGACACCCTGACAGGTGGCAACTGGCACACTGAAACTGAAAATAAACTCAAAGAAGTGCCTAAGAAAGGGCTCTGACACAGGCAGAATTTCCATTTCTCTGCACAACTACACTTGTCTTTGCTGAGTTGAAAACATTCACTGCCAAGTGATGAAATGAGGCCTTGGAGGCTCCATCATTCATTATCACATTTCAGCCTGAGTGGTCTCCAAACCACAACTTTTCCCAAGGGTTTGAAATATTATTTTATTTATTTATTTTTTAATTGTAACTGGTTAAGTATTGAACCCTTATCTAAATCAGATATCTTCAGGTGCAGAATTATTTTTCTTTGGTTACTGCCTTTTATTTTCTACAACCACTCAGTTGAAAGTAAAACTGAAAACTGCTGGAGGTGAGCTCAGATCATTCTTGTTATTTGAGGGAAGGAAAAAAAGACAAAAACAAGGACAGACAGGCAATGCAGAGCTTGTATACTTGCATTTCTGGTTTGTGTAGTGATGGCATGGCCAGGTTTGGTGCTGGGGTGGCTCTGGGAGAAGCTGCCAGAAGCTTCCCCTGTGTCCACAGAGCCAATTCCAGCAGCCCCAGGACTGACCTGCCCCTGGCCAAGGCTGGGCCCCTCAGGGACAGCAGCAGCACCTCGGGGAGCACTTGGGAAGGGGGAGGAAATCCCCCTGGAATTGCAGCTGGCTGAGAGCAGGGAGGATGTGGGACAGGAGCAGCTCTGCAAAGCCCAGGGCAGGGCAGAGGGGCAGGAGCTGCTCCAGGGGCTGGAGCTGAGCTTCCCCCGAACCTGGGGTGCAGCCCAGGGAGAGGCAGCTGTGCCCCCCAGCCCTGGGCTCCAGCAGGGACCAGAGATCCATCCCCCTGCAGCCCTGGGCTCCAGCAGGGAAGGGACCAGGCTGGAGCAGCTCCTCAAGGACTGCAGCCCATGGGAAGCTCTCAGGCTGGAGAAGCTCAAGGAGCTCACTGTCCCCTGTGGGAGGGACCCCACACTGGAGCACAGGAAGATGTGAGGAGCCCTTCCCCTGAGGAGGAAGGAGCAGCAGAGACAGCCTGGGATGAGCTGAGCACAGCCCCCATTCCCCATCCCCCTGCACCACTCAGGGCAGAGGTGGAGAAAGCTGGGAGTAAAGTTAAACCCAGGAAGAAAGGAGGGGTGAGGAGAACCTGTTTTAAGATTTAGTTTTTATTTGCCATTATCCTACTATGATTTGGTTGTTAATAGATTTTTTGGAGCTCTCCCTGCCCTTATCCTGACTCACAAGCCTCTCATTTCCCCATCCAGCTGAGGAAGGCAGGGACAGAGTGGCTTTGGTGGGCACCTGGTGTCCCGCCAGGGCCAACCAGCACATAAACACAGACAGGAGCTATGGCACACACACTGGCTCAGGCACAGAGAACCAATGGGCTTCTCCACTCTCCTGTCAAAGGCTCAGAAGGAGCACCAGTGTGTGCTGTGACCCCTCCTCTAACAAAGATCATTAATGATCACCCACCTAAAGCTTGGCTCAACTTAAAACATTCTCCAAAGGGACATTTGGTCTTAATTTGAAAACAAAGGAGTAGAGAATCTGCCACTTTTCTTGCTGTTTTGTTCCAGCAGTTAATCATCCTCATTGCAGAAAAACTGTCTTTGATTTCCTATTTGGATTGTGTAATTTCAGCCTCCAGGAAAGATTTCTCCTGTGTTTGTCTCTAGTACATATGAGACCACTTTCTAATGCTGTTTTATGGTTCATGTACTTACAAGCTCCAGCCACATGACCATCCCACAATTTCAGATACCCAAAATACACTGAGCTCTCATGATTAGCTTTTCTTCAGCCTTTAATCATCTATTGGAGTTCTTCTGGGCCCTCTCTGGTTACTCTCATCCATTTAAAGGTGGGCACCAAACCCGCAGCTCAGGATTCTCACACAGGTCCCAGCAATGTCACAAAATGAACTCCCTGGTCATAAACTGCAGTCCTGTGAGAAGTCTCCATTTGGTTGCTTGTCCATGAGCTCCTGCAAAGCCTTTTCAGCACCATTCCCAAGGGTGCAGCCCCCACAGACAGGACCTGCATGCCTTGGTCCCAGGGCCTGGCTCTACTGGCACTGTACTGAACCACTCTGAGTTTTCCATGGGTTGCATAGCCCAAAATACAGTGAGAAACAAAAGAGTTAATGCAAGACCCTCCTCCCAGCTGGCTCACATTGATCCTACTTCAGAGCTGAGCAGAGAGGAAAAGCTCTGCTCTGGACTCACCCTTGAGATGGGCTTTGCTCAGGTGTTTCAGTGCCCTGAGACCCTCTCCAGTGCCCAAACTCTGCCCTGCCGACAGGGTTATCCCAGAGGCTGCAAACAGAAGGAAATCCAAGCCCTTCCCCCTCTCCGGTGCCCAAACTCTGCCCTGCCAACAGGGTTAATCCCAGAGGCTGCAAACAGAAGGAAATCCAAGCCCTTCCCACGGGTGAACTGTCCTGGTGGGGCCTCCAGCCCAGAGCAGCACAGTGAGAGGCTTAGAAGACAACCTGGAGCATCTCCCTGTGCTGGGGTGACTCACGGGAAGGTGCCTGAATCACCAAATTCCAGGGCACTGAAGGGTGGGGCAAACAAAGCCTCAAGTGGACATGTCTCAAGCTGTCCCATGGTAGGTGAACACTGGCCACACACACCTCTCCAGAACAGTCAGAAAAGCTGGTTATGTGTTTAAATAATTGAGTTGTGTTTGTATTTTGCTTTAAAACACACTTCTTGTCCCTTACACATTTCTGTAAGGAACAGTGACCTGCATACAGAGCCCCATGGTAGCAAACATGCAGCCTGAGTCCTTAAAAACAACATTTCTGCCCCACAGAGGAAGCTGGAATTCACCCATGCAATTAGGTTAGGTTAATGCCTTGGATAGACATTATCTGATATCCTATTTTGTAATCCTCTGCTAAGCAGGATGCTGTTCACTTTGGGAGCCAGTAAAACAGCTAACACACACTGTCAGACCTGAGCAAAGTCATGAGCAATCCCTGAGGGTCTGAGATAGGTTCAACCCTGCAGCTGGTAATGGTCCAGAGTCATTTAGAAAAGTCACTAAATGCTACATTCAGGTTGAAGGCTTCTTTAGACCAGTATTTATCAGTACAGATCTCAGGAGAACAGACAACACTTCGCCTGCCAGAAGTGAACTTTACAACGTTCTTCTGATTATCAACTGATTTGGTTCTATGCCAATAACATTTTACTCTTTTTCTAATCCTTAATTCATTCTTTTTAGAAACAATCTGTGTTCAGCCCATTCTGCTCAGAATAAATCTTTTGCTGTGTATCTGTATCATAACAAGATCTTCAATATCCAGGCAAATATTTTCATATCTACGGAACCACACCAGATGTGTGTATAAAACAAGAAAAGTTACCTGACTCCTGAAAATTGAGCTATCATACTTCCCTTGAGCTTGGTGGGAATTTGTGAGCTCTCAGCAGTTACAGACAAGAACTCTCCAACTTAAGTTCATAACGTCTGATTTAAGGCACACTTCTGAAAATGCTGCCCTGAATTTTCCATTTCCCCTGGCAAAGCCAGGACTTCCCCAAATCACACACAGAAACATCTCTTTCAGATTAAAAGGGAAACCTAAAAAGGTCCTAAGAAGGAGGAAACAGTGATTTATTGTCCAGTTTTCCCCCACAAAAATAAAATCTTGTAATAGCATAAGACATTTCAACACACAGTTTCTATTTGTCTTGTCACATTCAACCATAAGTGAACAATTTTTGAGCACCGTGCGTACACAGAAATGACAAATACACATGCCTGACTAGACTTGCATTTGCAAATAGAAAGTGACAAAAATATGGTTTTGGCCAAACAAATTTTACCTTTTTTTTCCTACAAAAACGATACATGCACATTACAGTTCCATAAACACAAGTGGTTTAAAGCATATAGTGCCCCTAACAGCCAGGTTGAAGCCATTTTGTAAATGCAGCCCTCCGAACAACCAAACATTACTTTTCTGGGCTGCTGCTTAGGAAAACACCATTGAGCACTTACAGATGGCAAATAAAAAACAACTTTTGAAGCTGAAGCCTTGTGTGGGAATTCTGCCTGGGGAAGCAGGCAGGATGAGGTCTCCCTTGCACACTGGTAGCTGAAGGAAGCCACAAGGGCATGGCAGACGTGACTTACCACAAGAGCAGCACGTGAAGCAGTTGGTATGATAGAGGTTGCCCATTGCTTGGCAAGCCTGGCTCGCTCCATACACACCTTTTCCACATTTTATACAAATACCTACAAAACAGAAAGAGAATCAAAGTTAAAATCCTCCACAGCTCCTAAGAACAGCTCCAGGCTGTTGATTCACAACACCATTGATACCCTACATCAATGAGCTCCTCACCCTGAATAGATTTAAGTACCCAAGAGAGCAGCAGGCGGCTGCAGTGAAACAAATGCATGGAAATCAACCCAAAATTAAGGGGGGCCAAGGCTTTGCTGGTGATGCAGGGAGACCGAGGCTGGCTACAGACAGAACCCAGAGGAGGCAGGTGCAGCCAGAAAGGACAGAGAAATCCACACACTCTCCGCAAACAACTCTGCCAGCCCCAGAAGTAATTCAGTGAGACCTTCACAACAAAGTGCTCCATCACATGACATTCAACAACCACTGATAAAACCACAATTCAGTCTAAGCCCAAAAGATTTCTCCTTGGCCTTCTCCACAAACACAACACCAAGCACGTTTGCCTGCAGTGAAAGCCCCTGGGAAAATGGATCTGTCAGTCATATCTAGTAATTGTTTAATTCCCTGTGAACAGAGGATGTAACCTCATCAACACAACCTGGCACCTCACACCCCAACAGCAAAGCCTCTGCCCTCCCTCTGGTCCCAGGACAGGAATTCAGGCTGCCAGTTGTGCTTCAGTGGGCTCAGAAATTCCCCTTGACTGCATTCCCTGCTCCTGGGGGTGCCAGGGATGACTCCCATGGAGTCCTCAGGAGGCCAAAGCACCAGGAGCCAACAAGTCAGAGGTCAGCTCTACACAGGGCAAACTCACAGGGAAGGTCATGATTCCAGTAAGCTCTTCAAAGGGGGATTTTTGGGGAGTATTTAAAGGTATTTCCTCAAAGTTTGGGGGTTTTGTTTGTTTTAGTTTTTTGGGTTTTTTAAAAATTTATTTATTTTGGTTTTTTGAGAGTATTTTACCTGTGCATTTATTTGTACCTATGCGTAACCTCTCTAAATTCAAATCAAGGAAGGGAATTGATTCAAGGATCACTTTGGTTTTGTATTCCTAGGAAGAAGAACTTAAGCTCTAGGGAATGCATGTCCTCCTGTCACACAACTGGGACTACTGATTTTAAGTTTCCCTGAGATGTCCATAGGTCTCTATTCAATCCTAGCAGGACAGTCCATCAAGACAAGGCCGGTGATATTTTTTAAATACTACAGTAGAAAATAAAAACAAAGATCTTTTTTGCTTCAAACAACTCTAAAGAAACTGCTGTCCTCCATGTGCTGTTTGAGGTTCTATTTCTACAAGTGCATGCACAAGCTTGGCGTTAATCACTGGCACCAACAAAACTGCTAATATACCTAAGAACCTGGGAACTGCAGAACTACAAAACTAGGCTTCTATCTTCCAAAATTCTCCCCTGCTGTGCACATTCTATGTAGGTACATGCAAAATAAAAATTAAAGTTCTGTGGGGGAAGATCAGCATATCATGAACAGGCATCCCTCTCTGGTCCTTGGGAGACATCCTCCCCTGAACTTCTCCAGTGTCAGAGCTTCCCATGGGTGCTTTCTGGCAGCTTCCCCAGAGCCACCCCAGCACCAAACCTGGCCAGGCCAGCCCAGTGCAACACACCGTTTCTAGAACTGAACTGCTTCAGTTCCGAGCAGCATCAACACTGCCAGCAGTATGAGCTGTGGAGTGTGATCAGATTAACTGGGATACTGGCAAGTTTAAAAAAACCAGTTTGCCTGTACTACAAATTCCAATACTGAAATGGAAAGACTGCTCATTACATCACAGGGTTTATTGGTATTTATACCTTTAACTCCCTCATTTCATGTCATGAATGGAGATTAGCTTTTCATTCAGCTAGCTCAACATTCTGGCACAGTGTTGCCATTTGAGACCATTTGTTAAATCAAATGATAAATTTCAAAACTCAATACATCCATTAAATTATTTAAAATCTTAAACCTGATCTCAGAAATTTGGGGAAGCAAAAACTATAACTTTAAGATTAACAGTTACCCAAGCTAAACCTAGTGAGACAAACTAGCTGCCATCCAGATCCATCAGTTTATTGCAAACTTCTTAAGAATATGCCAGCCCTTGGGTGAGCTCAGCCCTTACAGAAGAAATGGGAATTTCACAACATTTGTTGCCTTATCCAAGGCTGCCAAGTCTGTTCATTTATTTGTAACCAAATGTTATGGACAACATCTATTTGCCATGAGTTAAAGGTTAACTGATCAGAGATGGGTATTGATTACTGTGGCACTGCCTGGGAGAGGTGTCCTGTGAGCCAGCAGCTGCAGGAATTGCTCCCTCTGGCAGCAGCACAGAGCCCAGGGCCCTGCTCACTGCCCCACACCTCCCCAGGGCTCTGCAGGGCCCTGCCCAGGAGGGGCTGCACAGCCCGGGCTCACACCTGGAACAAGCCACTGCCACCCCAGCGCCACGCTCTGCTCCAAGCCCAGGTCCCCACTCCTGGCAGTGGGGACAGAGGAAGCCCCTTCAGAGCTCCCCAGCCCCATGGACACTCCTTGCCCACCTTTTCATGCCAGCCCTGGCAGCTGTTGACAATCTGGCTGGCTGGCAGGTTATGCTGACTGAACCATGTTTTCCCATCTACACGTAAAGCTTTTCAAAGAAGAGCAGGAACCCACAGTCTGTAACTCTGGCAATTCTGTCTCTGAGCTCTTGTGCACAAATCTACTACAGTCCAAACTGCTTTGATAAATGCAACTTATTACCTCATTTCTTTGACATTGCTGCACTGAACCATCAGAATTAAAAGAAGGATTTATTGTGGATGCTAAACTGGCCTCTCCAAGCAAGTGATTTGTTAGGAGCAGCTGTCAGTTTGTTAACTTGTTTTCTCTAAGAGAGTAGTCATTAACTGCAGGAAGGAATGACCACAGAGATGATTAGCATACTAAAAAAGTGTATGTAAAATTCCAAAAGTGTATTTTGGAAAATATATATGCAGCTGCAGTGTGAGTTTAGTGTGAGCTCATAACTGCCAAGGAGAAGCCCTGATTACAGGGCTGCTCAGATCTGCTTTTCCACCAGTCCCAGCCCAGACTGCACACTGCGGGCTTGTGAAGCCCTGACATAACAGCTACATCACTTTCCCCCCTCCCCAGATTTAATTCCAAGGCTTGTTAAACCACCTATGAAGAATGTTCTGTTGCAGAGCAAGCGTGTCTCATTTCTGACACTTCCCTTGACGTGACTTCAGAGCAACTTCTGCCTTTATATGGTTCCTTGCCCCTCCTGAGAGCTCGATTTGGAGCAGTCAGCTGTGCCCCAGACCTTCCACACAGCAGCTGCTGTTTCTGCCCAGGTCATCAGCTCTCCTACAGATCTGGTATTTCTACCCAGAAAATTACATTACAAGATGTTGCATTTACTCACAGTTGCCATGAAGGCTGGCTGAGGCAGGAGCAGCAGTCCTTGGCTGGGGTGGAGATAGGGTCACACCCTCACAGAGCACTGAACCAAACAAGAGCAGAGACTGAACAAACACTACATGGAGCACAGCAAAGGACATAACAAAAATGGCACTGGGAAGAGAAGGAGCTCCCAGAGACTCCCTGCTGGACTCCAGCACATGGCCAGTGCTCCCCACATCTTTAACCAGTCCACTTGACTGACATCATCTCTGGACACAAGGCAGCAAGCCTCCAGCATTGCACAGCACACAGCATCAGGCACGGCTCCTGGGGAGCTCCCAGCAGCACAGCACATCAGACTGGGACCTTCTGATGTGTTCAGTGACCTTGCTCTAGAGCTGACACCAAATGCAATGCATTATCATTACAAAGGTATCAGCAACAACCTATTTTTCAGCCTGCTGGTACTTGTAAGTGTTCCCTGTAGCAGCATGTGCATGACAAGAAGCTCAGTTTGGGACCTGTACATCAGATCCAGCAATGCTCTTTTGGCTGCTGCTTCATACAGACTTCACCAGGCAGCCAGAATTAGGAAAAAGAACTGATAAATGCCATGCATGTCATGGCAGATATTTAACCACCTTTGGGCCAGGCTCTGACCTCAGACACAGGTGGAATTCATCCTGTGCCTGAAGCCATCCTTTTATAACCTAAAAAGTTTAGCACGAATGCAAGAGAAATGGTACCACGTGGCCTCAGCTCCAGCAGGCAGCAGCTGTGTGAGCTGGGAGAATGCACAGCCTGAGCACCACAGCCCAGGGTGAGCTGCAGCCTCACTGTCTTGCAGCCCCACCGTATCTCCAGGATAACTGCTACATGCTGCCTACAGTAGGAAACAACCCAGCCCTGTCAGCAAGAGTTATGGTAAAGCTAAAATTAACAACTAACACATGGCACAGATGACTCCCTCCCTGCCTCTGCAGTTCTGGGAAAAGGGCGGATGAACATCATGCTGGGCCACTGCAAAATCCCCTTTTCTTCTCTCAGACAGGAAAACCATCTCTACACAAGCCCCACACACAAGATTCCCCACACCTGCAGCCTATCTATGGCACAGGTGCTGCTGTACCTGTCAGATGTGCTCTGCTAAGAAGCCAGGCGAGCAGAGGAGCCCGAGCTGCCCCGAGCCCAGGCAGCTGTGCCACTGCTGCTGCAGCACCTGCCAAGCTCCAGGGCACCTCCTGGGCCCAGGCAGCTTGGACCAAAGAGGTGACTTCAGGGGAGAAAAATGCTCCTTTCCTTCCAACACCACAGAAGGCATCTTCTGACACACACGTCATCCCCCAGCCAGGCAGGGAGAAGACAGGAGGCACCTGCACGGGGCAGAGCTAGGGAGGAGCCCAGGGAACCCGCCCAGCCCTGCCACCATGGGCAGCTCTCACCGCAGGGCTTTCATCTGCTGCCTGCCAGATACCTTGCACATGGACCAAGGATTCAGTATCTAACATGAAATCTGGTACATACAAGTTATAAACAAATACCTGGACATGCTCAGCAGCAACATCCTGTGCTAGGAATGATGGAGGGACTGCCAGGCTAAGCTACTAGCACTACCTCTGCCCCAGGGAAGAGCAGGACACACCACAGCTTGAATTAA